GATGTGGTCCTATTGGCTTCATCAGGTCGTGATCTACAGCTTTTGCTGGAGCGGTTTGTAACAGAGTGTGATGCGACCGGGATGAAGATCAGTTCCTCCAAATCCGAGGCCATGGTCTTGAGCCGGAAAAGGGTAGAGTGCCCTTTCCGGGTCGGGGAGGAGGTCCTGTCCCAAGTGGAAGAGTTTAAGTATCTTGGGGTCTTGTTTATGAATAAGGCAAAAATGGAGCAAGAGATCGATAGGCGGATAGGTGTGGCGTCTGCAGTGAACAGTTGTAGTGAGTCACGTGGGTACGTGTCACTAGTTGTAGTATGACAAATATATGAGATATATGCATACTTTTTCACGAGTTCCTCATCTTTCTGACTGTGTAATGTCGTGCATTGAATTTTAACAGCAATGCGGACGAGAGACGTTATTATCTTTGACCCATCAAATGAATGTGGTCATTTATTTTCAGAATCAAAGTTTAACATCAAACATTTACAGTCTGTCATGGTGAAGATAGAGCTGAACCAAAAGGCGAAGCTCTCAATTTACAGGTCGATCTACGTTCCTACCCCAATTATGGTTAGGATGCCTCCTGGATGCCTCCCTGGTGAGGTGTTCCAGACATGTCCCACCAGGAGGAGACCCAGAGGAAGATCCAGGACACGCTGGAGGGCCTATGTTTCTCGGCTGGCCTGGGAATGCCTCGGGATTCCCCTGGAAGAGCCGCCAAAGTGGCTGGGGAGAGGGAAGTCTGGGCCTCCCTACTTAACCTACTACACCTGTGACCCCCTAGATAAGCGGAAGAAAATGGATGGATGGATGAATAGATGGATGGATTGTTGTTGAATGTGTTCATGCTTTTTGCTTTTACTCCCTGACATTTAACGCAGGGTGATTTAATTTAGTATTTCATTGTTTTGAATATTATTTCGTGTTTTTATGCTTTTATTTCTGATGCTGTAATATTTTGTTATTAATATTTGATGCTGTTAACTTTTTCTTTTTTGTTAAGCACTTTGATAACGGTTATCGTTTTAAATGTGCTATATAAAAAAAATTTGACTTTACTTGACCTTTCATCTAGTTACAGCGGAGGTTGGGGAAGTAGCTCAGAGGAGTGCAGGTTTTAATACAAGAGTCAGGTTCTGCCATGTTAAACCTATGGAACAGTGAGTAATGCAGTTGTTTGTGTTTTGTGTAGTATAGGAAGCATGCACAGAAATGAGGGTGGGCAAGCTGGATTCCCATTACCCAGATCTTTACAACGGTACCATGTGCACCCTGATCCAACCTTCCTACGTGAAACTGTGAGACTAAATGCACTCATCCAACCCCTTAGAGCAAGCGTAAAAAGAGAAGAGAGGCTGAAGTACATAAATATTATAACTTCCTTCAGAAATAAGTCGTCTACTTAAAATTTTGAGGGCATGTAAAGCAAGTATCCAAGAAGGTGTGTGCACAATTTCGTGTTTGTACGTGCACTACAGCGTGTACGGCAGCGTCTGTGAGCCATGCATTTCGCAACATTTTACACCTCCTAGAAAGCATTCATAGAAGTGAGACAGGCCTTGTTGAACTCAGCATGATTAGATCTTTCCATTTGTCATCTTCGTACGACATTCCTACGTGAAGCTGTGAGCCATAATGTACTTGCTTGCTCCAAACATCTATTTTGCCTTAGAGCAGATAGAAAAATTCAGCAATCTAACTTCAAAGCTTTGTAACTTCCTTCAGGATTAAGCCAAGTTCTTAAAATTTACAAGATGTATTAAGCATATAGATATGAAGGAGCCTGCAAAGTTTCAGGCCCGCACATGCACGTCTTCACGTACGGAGGCCGCGTCTATTTGCAATTTTGTGTGTGAGGCCTCCATCCATGCACTCCAGGCTGCTCTGCAGCTGCTAGGAAGCTCGCACAGAGATGAGGGAGGGCTCGTTGGATTCGTATTAACCAGAATTTTATAATGGTACCATGCTCATCTTCCTCAGTTCTTAGTGCAGAAAGCAGGAAGGCCAAAATCACATGACAGGCCTTGAAATTTAAGGCCTTATAGCGTGCACTTGGACAAGGCAAGTTGTTTCAAATTTCCAGGGTGTCATCAGCTGACAGCCCCTCTTTAACACTGAGAATTTTGTGTCCCTAGCTCCTTTCTTCTGGGAATTATGGACCATCCATCACTTGTATTAATAAAGGCTTGACCTTTTGACCTTTTACCATACATACCATTTTATTTATAGAGCACTTTAAACAGCGACAGGGCCAACCAAAGTGCTGTACAAACAGAAACAAAACAGGCAAAGCACACAGAAACGTATAGCATAACATAAAATCAAAATATAGAAACAAAATAATAGCAGATAACAATGACTAATACAGTGTGATGCATACAGGTTCATCACAGATCATACAGTGTTCAAAGTCAGGGAATAGTAGTGTGTTTTTAAGCGGGATTTAAAAACTGTGAGGGAGGGGGCCTGCCTGACAAGCAGAGATGTAACTCATTCCATAGTTGTGGGCCCGCAACAGAAAAGGCCCTGTCACCTCTGCGCTTAAGACGGGTTCCTGGAACTGTGAGAAGCAACTGGTCCACTGACCTCAGAGAACGTGATGGGACATACGGCTGCAGCAGATCAGTGAAATAGAAGGGGGCAGAACTGTTCAGTGATTTAAAGACATACAAGAGTATTTTGAACTGATGTCAGCCAGGCAGTCAAGAAGAGGTTGAATAGAGCATGCCTTAGGGGGAAGTAAATTTGACAATCATTGGCATAATTTGATAAAATTATGCAACAGTCAAATTTCACAAAGATCCACCTTGTAAATGGACAGGGACCGAGCAGGATGGATAGGGGCCTCTGGAGGCTTTGTCGGCTGTGAATGGACTTTGGGAGCATGCTCGGAGCCCAGAAAAAAAAATTTGATAATACGGGGAAATAAACTGTACCACATACTTGAATTTGAGTTTTCCAAGCTTTACTTCGTTTACTGTGATCAAAATTTGCTTCCTTAAGCATTTTTCTGAGCAGGATGTGCCGAGCGGGAACTCTGTTTCCAAGAATGCAATGTGCATTGCCTTTGCAACCAGGTGCTTGAGTCACCATGGCTAGATGCCTAGCAGCATTCTCGGGCAAATTTTTGCAAAATTACGCTGGGGATAGCTGTAAAACTTGCTGGAAGCATTGTTGATTCGCCGAAGAATAAACCGTGACAAGCTGACGCCAATCGGAGCATGCTCAGAGCCACGGCTAGGGCTGAGTACTGAACTTCGGTTCTTTTTTGGTACCGACCAAACTGTTTCGGTCAGTGAAAGTATCAAAACATGCCACGTCTTTCAGTGTCACATTTCGGTGATTGGCTGTAACGTGAAACGTGGCTTCAGCACGCAGGCAGGTAAAGCAGATATACGTGGTTACACCCACAGATGGCGGTCACGTGTGTCTGTGTTGTGTGAACGTATGCAGCGCGTGTGGCAAACCGATTCAATTTACAAGCGGAAAGTTGCTCCGTGTTTGTCTGCAAGAAAAGTGGAGCACAGCCATCCTACTCAGTATTTAAATTAGCCTGTGGCTGCCAGAGAGCCTGAACGACCTGATTTAACATCTCCATGACCGGACTCTGTTTTGCACAGAGGACAACACTGTGTCTGGGATTCAGCTGGTAAGTTTATGTTTGTTAACTGCAGCTTCATTGCTGCAGCTTATTACATGCATCGCACGGTGAGTTAACTATCCATGTAATGCTAACTTTAAGATATTAGTGTGTAGCTTTATTATTTATTTAAAAAAACATTGTACGTAATGGAAAAGGGAATGTCAAGAGAAAATTGGGAGAAGTCAAAGATGTGGCTGTGGTGGGTGGACCACAGGACCAGTGTGGCACAAAGACCATTAAAAAATAAAAGAAAGCTACACACGAATAGAGTGTGGCTGTATTTTATTAAAATAAACAAAAGTTATGTGTAGATTTAGTTTATTTTTAATTTTTTAAATAAAATAAAGCTAAATTTAATATCTTAAATTAAGATGTTATTAGTGTGTAGCTTTATTTTATTTTAATAAAATAAAGACACTAATATATTAAATTAAGATGTTAGTGTGTAGCTTTATTTTATGGCTATCTATATAGCTAGCTAAAGCAAGAGCTAACTAAAGATTGACAGTAACAAAGCTTAGCTTGTAAAAATGTGCTCATCCACCGGGTCAGCTGGTTAAACAGTTAATCTAATTTTCACTATTTATGTTCTCCTCACAGGAACCTTTGACCCTGATGCGAGGACGACAAAAGGACAAAAGAAAAGTGAGATGAGTGCCACAGGACAGTCACAAACTTTGTTGTTAAAAGTTTGTTAGAAGTTCCTTCTTCTAGATGTAGCCACACACCAAAATGGAAGTCGGTATCTCACTGATTTTTCAAGTTATGATGCTCACAACATATTTCCAATTCCCCCTCTTCACTCCACAAAGGTGCCCAATAAGGGAAAGGGAAGATGGATGAGGAGTGACAAGTGTATCAAACAAAATAGTTACACTTACTGTCTGAAGATTCTGAAACTCTGAAGAGTTCAAGATTCGCCTATTGGGAGGAGTTGAGAAAGTATCTGCCTGGGGTGGGGTGGACGTACTTGACCGCCCCCTATTACACGGAGAATGCCTCTCTGGATCAGTTGCTGGCTTCTGGAAACGATAAAGTTGCTATTTGTTTACCTCGTAATCAACAAAGAAAATTACAATTTGTTGCTTTTCTTCAGTTTACACAGCAAGAACTCTTCTCTTCCAGTGCAGCTGTGGATTCCCTGCGGTACAGCGGTGGTGAGGAAAACGTTCTGTCAGTCAACTGAAGAGAGGCCTGCAGGGATGAAAAACAACAACTGTCCAAGTGCCAGTGCATCATCTTACATAGCTTTTAAAACCCATTTATTTTCTTTTACATGATCCAGGTTCTTTGAGGAAAGGTCCAGGTCACTGCCCTGAAGACTCTGATCCCCTTTGGTCAAACAGACTTTAAGCCTGGGAGGCAATGGGGTTGACTGAATGTTGGAAATAAGAATGAAAACAAATATAATTTATCCTAATTTACAATTCAACTATCACAGGAGATCAGGAAAATCTTTCCCTTTGTTCAAGAGAAATACTCACCAAAATACACAAAGTAAAACGTTTGCACACAAAGCAGAACAGAATAACTACAGATATGTATACAAATTGTAAATGTTGGAAAATGTTTTAAATGCAGTCTTACATGCATGGTTTTGGGCACGTCATCCAATGGGCTTCCTGAACCTTCATGGGCTTGTTGGATGCAAGATAACAAAGAAAAAAAACGAAACAATAAAATTTAAGAAAAATAAAGTTTCTGGAAATCAATAAGTGAATAAAAACAGATCAAGTTTCATGAAGACACTGCCACCAGGGTTACCAGTTCCACAAAAGACCAGAACATTGCTCAAAACACTACATGGATGTCCTCAACTGATTTATTTATTCATCTGATGATGAATTAAATATGGCACAAGTAATGTATACAACACAAATATTTTTAATTTATACATATATTTAATCAAATATCTTGATACATGCTCAAAAATCCAGGAAGAAAAATCTAAAAGTTAAGTTGGGTCCTATGGATGGATTCATTCTCAGTTTCTCTGAAACTTCCACAACATACGGAATGACCATTGGTGGTCATTCCTTATGTTGTGAGAGTTTCAGAGAAAATGAGAACATTATTTTATACAAATGACATCCCACTGGCTTTCAAATCCCAAAATACATTACGGCAATGACTGGTCCATCCCAAAGATCCAGTCTCCCGGCACAAACAGGCTAATATTGTGATCAGTCTTACATTGGGGAAACTAAACAGCCACTGGCCAAAAGAATGGCCCAGCACAGAAGAGAAACATCATCAGGCCAGGACTCTGCAGTTTACGCTCATCTTCAGGCCAGTGGTCACACTTTCTGGGATGAAGATGTTCACATCCTTGACAGAGAGGATGTTTGAGAGGAGTGAAGAGGCCATCTTTGTGAAGAGAAACCGTCCATCATTACACGGGGCATAGTCAAGTCACATTTATTTATATAGCACATTTAAAACAGTAACTGTTATCAAAGTGCTTACCAAAAAAGATCACAGCATCAAATATTAAGATATTACAGCAACATAAATAAAAGCAAAAAAGCATGAAATATGAGAAACAATGAAATACGAAATGAGATCACACTGTATTAAATGTCAAGGAGTACAGATGTGTTTTGCGGAGAGATTTAAAAGCAGAGACTGACGTGGCCTGTCGAATGTTGATGGGCTGTTTGTTTTAGAGTTTAGGGCCATGACTGAAAACGCCCGATCTCCTCAGAGCTTCAGCCTGGTTTTTGGTATGGCCAAAAGCAGCTGGTCTGACGATCTCAAGGCCCGACAAGGAGTATAAGGATGAAGGAGGTCGGAGAGGTATGAGAGTGCAAGGCCATTAACACACTTAAATGTCAGTAGAAGAATAAAATTAAAATCAACTCTGACACAGTAGTGGTGTGCCTTAAATGCAGTTTCATGAGGATGGCCAATAGATGGTCCATTGTTTGGACAGGTCCTGGGCGTTCCATCCTTTCGTCTTTTTTTTTGTAGCTGAGACACATAGAAGAGAGCAATCATTGGGTACAGCAGTAAAGCTGTCACGTTACTTTGTTTAACACAGGTTTATTACAGCCTCAATTCAAGTCAGTAATCCCTCTATTTACTGTTCCAATTTTCCATTGCCGTTTTTGACTGACTTTGTAGAGTAGGAGAAGATGGACGGGACAAAGTCAGGACTATCGATGTCTTCAGATGCCACTCCTGTACTAATAAAGCGTATTCCAGTGACTGAAGGTAATTTAATGAAAAAAGCAAATGGTTGGCCAGCGCTAACTGGCATAGAATGTGTTAGCGTACAACTTTACAACTAACACACGATTAGCAACTAAACTCAGTATCACTTAACTAAGATATCTTGGCTTGTAAGCTAGATACACTCGAGTGATCAATTGTTCTTATTTTTGTTTATACTACAGGTCCTTCTCAAAAAATTAGCATATTGTGATAAAGGTCATTATTTTCCATAATGTAATGATAAAAATGAAACTTTCATATATTTCAGATTCATTGCACACCAACTGAAATATTTCAGGTCTTTAATTGTTTTAATACTGATGATTATGGCATACAGCTCATGAAAACCCAAAATGCCTGTCCCAAAAAATTAGCATATTTCATCCCACCAATGAAAGACAAGTGTTTTTAATACAAAAAACGCCAACCTTCAAATAATAATGTTCAGTTATGCATTCAATACTTGGTCGGGAATCCTTTTGCATGAATGACTGCTTCAATGCGGCGTGGCATGGAGGCAATTAGCGTGTGGTACTGCTGAGGTGTTATGGAGGCCCAGGATGCTTTGATAGCGGCCTTAAGCTCATTCAGAGTGTTGGGTCTTGCGTCTCTCAACTTTCTCTTCACAATATCCCACAGGTTCTCTATGGGGTTCAGGTCAGGAGAGTTGGCAGGCCAATTGAGCACAGTAATACCATGGTCAGTAAACCATTTACCAGTGGTTTTGGCACTGTGAGCAGGTGCCAGGTCGTGCTGGAAAATGAAATCTTCATCTCCATAAAACTTTTCAGCAGATGGAAGCATGAAGTGCTCCAAAATCTCCTGATAGCTAGCTGCATTGACCCTGCCCTTGATAAAACACAGTGGACCAACACCAGCAGCTGACATGGCACCCCAGACCATCACTGACTGTGGGTGCTTCACACTGGACTTCTGGCATTTTGGCATTTCCTTCTCCCCAGTCTTCCTACAGACTCTGGTACCTTGATTTCCGAATGACATGCAAAATTTGCTTGCATCCGAAAAAAGTACTTTGGACCACTGAGCAACAGTCTAGTGCTGCTTCTCTGTAGCCCAGGTCAGGCGCTTCTGCCGCTGTTTCTGGTTCAAAAGTGGCTTGACCTGTGGAATGCGGCACCTGTAGCCCATTTCCTGCACACGCCTGTGCACGGTGGCTCTGGATGTTTCTACTCCAGACTCAGTCCACTGCTTCCACAGGTCCCCCAAGGTCTGGAATTGGCCCTTCTCCACAATCCTCCTCAGGGTCCAGTCACCTCTTCTCGTTGTGCAGCGTTTTCTGCCACACTTCTCCCTTCCCACAGACTTCCCACTGAGGTGCCTCGATACAGCACTCTGGGAACAGCCTATTCGTTCAGCAATTTCTTTCTGTGTCTTGCCCTCTTGCTTGAGGGTGTCAATGATGGCCTTTTGGACAGCAGTCAGTTCGGCAGTCTTACCCATGATTGTGGTTTTGAGTAATGAACAAGGCTGGGAGTTTTTAAAAGCCTCAGGAATCTTTTGCAGGTGCTTAGAGTTACGTTGTTGATTCAGATGGTTTGGTTAATAGCTTGTTTAGAGAACCTTTTCATGATATGCTAATTTTTT